GCCGACCAACGGCCAAGTACCTGCACCCGTCGACGGAGAAGCTCAACAGAACGGCGAAGAGACACAGGTTGCGCCAGCGGAAGAGGAAGAGGAAGGCCCGTCGGCGACCTCAATCTACGAAGAGACGATTCGCAACCCCGAATCAGACTACGCACTTTCCAGCTTGTCGAAACAAGCCAACGGGCTCGAAGTATCAAGCAAAGATCCACAGGCCTTCCTCGCCGATCAAGTCAACGTTCTTGAGAATCTGCGGCGGGAGGATGAGAATGAAGCTGCCATGAAGGCTGCGCGCAAAGAGCAAGACCCGTCAATTTCTAGGACTTATACCGACGACGCATCGGGAGTTGTCGAAGAGCATATTGGACCTGTACAATTCAACATGGGTGGAATTCAAGTCAACGCCGATGAAATGGTCAAGAGGCTACAGGTACGTCAAACACACGTTCATTATTCTCGAAGAGATATAGAACATCTACTAACTCCACCCCAGGACCGTCAAGCAAACCGATCAGACGAGCCTGAAACACCACCTCCCAAAACGCAGGACACCAACATCAACGACAACGAGAAGTTGAGGTCTTTCTTCTCCAGCCTGGTCAACAAGGCGCCCTCGGGCAGTCCAAGGGGTGGTTCGTAGTCTGTGTCTTGTTTCTTTACAGGCATTTTCCACTTTCTCAGGCATATGCATTCCGTACAACTTTATTCGACGCTCTCGATAGCAAAGGCTTTCTTACAGGTTCACGGTCGTCATTAGCATGGCTTTATACCCACAGTGTATTTCCGTACCCAATACAAGCTTTCACATTCCACATCACCATTTCTCGAATACGTACTCCTTAATTTCTGTTACTGCATCCACTGTCGACACCTTTGCTTTCTGCGTGGTCGTGAAAGCATGTACAACACATCTCGGTCTACTTGTCTCTATCTCCCATGGCCGAAGCCACGCATCAAATTCTTCAAGCATTGACTTCACGCTCCTACCAACACACTCTTATTTTAAATGACTACCTCGTGTATGTCTTTCTCCAACCCTCTCTCCATACTCTTTCAACCAAATAAAGTCCCGGCTCACCTGAAAGATGCTACACTAAGTTACTAAACCCACAGCAACCTACCCTCGCATCATTCCCAGTATGACAGGTCGAGGCGTCCGTTGGGCCGACTACCGACGCCCAGATCGCATCACAACAGACAACCTCTCTCAAGTGCCTCATGAACACTTCAACTGGGGATATTGGAGGCATATGGGTAATCCACCGGGGATGCAGGGGTATTGGAATGAGAGAAGAGGGCAGTGGGGTTGGCGAAACGGGTAACAGTGGGGTGATGCTACTGGTCGGTATCGCTGAATTGCGATATGCTCGGGTGTGTGTGTGTGTGCCTGTGTGTGTGAGGAGACGTGTAGGTTGACATGCTCATACTGCATCGTATCCACAAGAAACCAATCATGCACAACCACAACACCCACCTACCTCTCCAACAACCACCTAACCCCCTCCAACGTGTCCTTGCTAAACCCCTTACTCTCCTCCAACTCCGGATAATTCGTCCAAAACATATGTCCAAACCCTTTGTACAGCTCGAACCGCGTCAACACCCCATTCTCCCTCAGTTTTCTGTCATAGAGCACCGCCTCATCCCTCAACGGATCCAAACCCCCGACCTGGAAAAACGCCCTCGCGACGCCTACATGTCCATCTGGATGGTTGAACGGGTCCCAAAGCGGGGACTTTTCCTGGGGTTCGTAGATGGATTCGATGAATCCTGGTGCCATATCTTTGAGTACGGGGTCGGATGTATTATCTGAGCGGGATTGGTAGAGGGGGAGTAGGTGGGCAGGAACGTTTGTGTGGGGGAGGAGGGCGGGGACGCAGAGGTATTGGCCTGTTATGGGTGGATTTAAAGCTGTGTCTCGGGCGAGAAGGGCAAGGACGGCGGCGATGTTGCCGCCGGCCGAGGCGCCGCCTACGAGGAGACCGCGGGTGGGTGTTGCGTTGAGTAAGTCGCTGTTCTTGATAGCCCAGAGGAGGGCGTCGTGGCAGTCGTGGATGCCGGTTGGGAATTTGTGCTCGGGTGCTAGACTGAGCGTGTGTGAGTAAATGTGTCTTGGGAAAAGGAAGTAGAAGTATACGAAGACGGAACGATAACGTAAGGAATGAAAGAAAAACTAGGGATACAAACGACAGGATCGCCTTACCGATACTCAACATTAACACACACAGCCCCCAACTCCCTCGTAAACATCCGACAATTCATATCTTCATCCGTTAAATCACCCATACTCCAGCCTCCTTCGTGGTACATCATAATCAGTGGACTGCCATCCTCCGGCGGACCCGCAACAGGCTGGTACACTTTGACGCGGATGGAGGCTCCATCTCGAGTTGGCACGTCGTGGAGGCTTTCTGTCACGTGCTCAGGGATGGGACCGGGGATGGGGTAGAGGTGGCGGAGTTGCGAGAGGTGGGCTGCGCGGGAGGCGCGGTGGGCGAAGAAGTCTGGGCCTGTTGTGTGGAATGGGCGGGCTGTGAAGGCCTGTGGTTGGTGTGAGCTGAGAAGTGGTTGTTTAGAACTTTGTGGGGCGGTGAAGGAGGAAGGCGATCATGTGTTATCGCAAGTGTCTTATCACCTCATACAAGGGAAAAACCGAACACCCTAGAGGATACATTAAGAAGAAAGCCTGCAAGTTAGGTGGCCTAACGTTGATGTAGGCTCCAGACCTGTCCAGGGTTTCCCTAGGTTGACGTGTTATGAAACCACTGTACCTTCCTGTATGCTTCTGATACTTCCCCCGACTTGAGGACTTCTTCTCGTTTTAGATGGGCCATGTTTCGTGCGATGTTCTTGGAAATATGGTAGTAAAAGGCAATTATGTTATCTAGATTGGTCCTCGGAGGCTTCCAGATATACGCACTTTCCGTCTTACGATGTTGATGCATACCACGTGTACGCTTACGTCATTCCTTAACAGTCCACTTCTATATCAACTCACATCCCTGACAGCTATGCTTATCTTGAGATCATTGGTAGCCAGAGTCAGTTTACTTCAATTGAGTATGTGCTGGTGATATCGCTCAATTATATGAAAGGTATACTGCAAGATTATGTAACACATCAAAAGAAATATGAACAGCTGAGTACTACAACCCTAACACAAATCACCGAAGATTGTGTGCAAACTGCGGACAGTACCACACATTTCCACCAATCAACCACCCTCCTACTCCTTATCAACAAGCACAGTACTATCCTCGACCTTCTCCTCCCCCGCCAAACTAGGCTGAACAACCTGCCTGCCCTTCCACCCCGCCATAAGCTTACCCAGCCTCTTCCTCAGCCCATACTGCATCCAATACGGCCAAGTCCTTATCGCCGGAATGAACAGCCCACTAGTCTCCGGCAGAACAACATGCTGACTCTTGCCACTCAACACCGCCTTGACAATGCTCTCAGCAACCGTCTCCGGGTAAAGCACGCCCTTAGAATCGAAGCCTTCGAACAGCGCCGTGCGGGTGTAACTCTGGGCCATGAGCACAGTCCTTATCTTGGGGGCGTTGTAGCGGGCGGTGAGTTCGGCGGCGAGGCCTTCGTGGAAGGAGAGGGCGGCGGCTTTGGAGGACGCGTAGTCGACCATGGAGGGCGCGGAGAGGTAGCCGGCTACGGAGGCGACGGTCACGATCATGCCGTGGTTCGCGGCAATCATAGCTGGCAGGAATTGCTGCGTCAGATAGTAGTGGCTGAAGGCGTTGACCTTGAAGGTCAGGTTGATGTCCTTCTCTGTCGACTCGAGGATGGTCTTGCCGCGTGCGACTCCGGCGTTGTTGATCAGGACCGTTGGGTTACCGAGTGTGGAGCGGATGGATGAGGCGGCGGAGGCGATGGCCTCAGGGTCGGTGAGGTCGCACTTGAAGAAGCGGACAGATGATGGTGCTGGTGAGTGTCAGTATACCTTCAAAGCAATTGACGCTCAATGGCAGACATACCCTCATACGTCAAGTCCTGAACATCCAGGACGGCGACCTTGATACCCTTCTCGGCGAGCAACTGCACCACAATCTTGCCAATGCCATCGCTGCCTCCGGTTACAACGACCACCTCGCGACTCCAGACATAGGCATCGCTGCTCCAGTTGTTGGTCACGCCGCTGTTGAGCCAAGCGTTGACGGTGCTCAGCGCACCCAAGCCCAGCAGCGTCTTCAAGCCCTTGAATGCGGTGGCATGGTCTTCGGCAATGGCGTTGCCTTGGTGCGTGTAGCGCGCAAGGAGGATGAGGGGCAGCGTGAGGGCAGGGTTGAAGGCCGTGTACCTGATGAGGCGGCTGATAGTATCGCCAGTCACGCCTGTTCACGTTAGAAAAGCGTCCTTCACGATACTATTGCCATTGTGATGGTTGGGGGCGGCAATGGCTCGGTGCTTACCTTCGCGCGCAAGGGTCCAGTCGCTTCGAATCGGCATCGCGACGTTGTCTTGGGTGGTTGGATGTCGGAAAGAGTGGTCGGGGTAGCGCGTGGAAAGCCGCAACTAGCAGCAACGGATAGCGTTTACATTTCGCGCGTCGCGACTCTTTAAACGGACCGGCTGTGGTACTCCTTCGTCGTGCAGCTGTGCCACGCCCACCAGGGAGAGAGCGGGGTCGCCCCAAAACAAGGCTGGCGCAATCCTGAACGAGCCCATAACCGAGGATCTGGCGCTGTCTATCGCGATTTCCCTGTCGCCATGTGCAAATGAGATTTGCCAAGAGATCGCAAGGGATTAAGGGATTAAAAAGGATTCGTGTGAAGATCGTAAAATGATGATTGTTTACAGCGTTCGTGCTGTCGTGACTAATATACAATTGTGCTAAACGCGCTCCAAGTGATGCTATGTAAATACTGCTAATACTAAAACAAAGGAAATCTCGTAAAGTGGTAAAACGATATCCCGAACGCCAAACACAAAACCCGCCCACGCTATCAAGGTAAGATAAGAAAAAAATCGTGATCCAAACGGCCGTCCATCTAGATCATGTTGCTGCCAGGTTGCTCGTAGTCCATAATCGTGCTCTCAGGGGGCGCGACGCTCGTTACCCGACTGATACGGCTTGCTCGTGAGTCGGGACGATTGATCGACATCGCTCCACTCATGACCCTCACTACCTTCCTGCTCTTAGTTCCAGCGACCAGGACCTGGGCTGGGCAGACGACAATCTCGTCCTCGCCTTCGCCGAAGTCATCGCCCTTCTTGACGACTAGGGGGAACAGTACAATCTTGACCACCGACCCACGGGCTTGGAGTTCGTCGTTCGACGTCGTCTCGCCTGACCGTTCGTTCATTAGAGAGGCGTTGAAAGTAACCTTGGCGACGAGATCGCCCTTGGTATCGTACTCGGGTTGTAGCGGCGGCAGCATGATGTATTCCGCGCGTTGCGTGCGCATCTCAATTGATAGCTCCACTGCCAAGCGCATTACGTTGCGCAACGACTCCTGGATCTGGCGCTGCAGATGCGATGGTGGTGGAAGAAGTGTCGAGAGTGTGCTGTAGATCTCGTGCACGACAGCTTCAGTGTCCTGAGCGCGTTGCTGCATGAAAGGCTCTCTTCTCGCAAGAAGGGTAAGTGTGATAGCTCGCCATTGTGCCACAGCGCGTGGTGGGCCGACCTCTGAAAGTGTCTTCTCCAGCGCCTTGAGTTTCTGGCGCTGTTCTCGGTCCATACCGAATAGGTACCTGGTGAAGACGTACTCCCATATCATGGTCATAACCACGGACATGAAGACGTCTCGGCGCTTGACACGGTCCGCTAAGAGTGAATCGACATCTGAGCCATCGAGGATGGCATTGTCAAGGCGAGTGTCGATTTTCTGACGCGTTGATGCATCCAGTCGTGTATCAGCTGCGACCTCTGATGAAAGGCGGCATGCGCGAGTGTCAGAGAACTTGGAGAAGCGCAGCACCCACTGCTGTACATGTTGACACAGTTGTTGACAGGCGCTGTCAAAGTAGTCTTCATCGCGAACAGTGAGGAAGCTCTCACTAGGCTTCTTCGAAGCCAAGATCTGCTTTTGAAGGTTCTTGATCTGTTCGCGTGCAGTCGCCAGCTCTGCGGTTAGACGGTCGATTTCAGCATTGCGCTCATCTAGTGCTTCGCCAACTTCATCGCGGACGGCATCTGCGAGACCTCGCTGCATCTGGGTATGCTGACGACGAAGTTCCTCCAAGTCTCGTTGTGATGTTTGCCATTGCTGTTGCATGGCCTGGCCTTCAGCCTGAAGCTGAGCGTATTGACTGCGAAGGCTCTCTAGCTCTCGTTGTGATGCCTGCCATTGCTCATGCACCATCTGTCCCTCGGACTGGAGTTGGCCATATCGTTCATTGGCATCGTTGGTCAGGTTGCGATTGGCGTCTGTTAGTGCGTTGTTGAGTTGATTCAGGCGCGCAATCTCTTCTTGTAGTCGCTGAAGCGTATCCTTGAGTTGCGCAATGTCGATATCTCTTTGGTGAATCTGACGGTCACGTGCTTCTACTTCTTCAAGTACCAACTGCTCGTCAACTTGGCGCTGGTGTTGTGCAGCCTGCAAAGCCTCCTCAGCCTTGGCTTTGGCGGTCTCGACAGCTGAGTTTTGCGCAGCTAGCTGGTCAAGTTGCGTCTGGAGGTCCATAATTTGCATGCTTTGACGTTTGCGCACGCTTGGTGGACGTGAGGGCGAGCTAGGCGACCTTTGGGCTTCACCCCATGCTTCCTGCAAAAGACAGTCAGTAATCAGAAGCGACGTGCGCAACAACTGCGAACTACTTACAAAGGTTTCGGCCATACTGGTACGGCGACCTCTACCTGTACCCCGGACTGGGTCGTAAACCGGTGGGGCGGCGATACCTGCGATGGCTGCTGCTCCAGCCGCGAGCGCCGTGCTGGAGAGATTGGGTTGCGCGCTCTTAGCGTCTTGCGCACTGGCCTCGCCAAGCCTCGAGGCTGATCTGAGGTCACCTGACGTTTGCCGGTCCACTCTTCTCAACGACCGATCCGAACGTGTGCTGATGTTGCTCATAGAGCTCATAGGACGTTCCTGATCCGGAGACCTAAGCCTCGCGATGTTGCTCAGAGAACGCTGACTTTGAACACTGGGCGACCGCTGCTCAGCAATGTACTGCTTCAACGGGTCTGCGCTCGGAGATGAGCGAGGCATGCGGCGTGCGGGGCTGAGGGTCATGGTTCGGTCAACGCTGTCGTTGACCTGTGACCATGGTGAATCTCTTCCACCCGAGTTGTCTGCCATGGATGCCACACTTCGACGACCCGTGGGCGTTGGCGTGCTGGGCGGAGGTGATCTCAGGCGATCAGAAAGTTGCCTGAGACTCTCGGTGCGACGAGCTGACTTGAGTCCTCGCTCTGGCGCGCCGACATCAGCGATGGATCGTGACTTCTTGTGCTTGGTGTCATCCGGGCTGACTTCCTCAATGGACTCGAGTTGCTTGGTGCCTGGCGTGCGTTCGGACTTCGCGACAGGCGTGGAAAGGGTCTCACCCTTCTTCTCATTTGGATCTCCAAACAAGGATTGGTATGGCTCCTTCTGTGCAATCTGCTTCGTAGGCGATGTTCGACCGTGCTGCGACTCTGTGCGTGGTTTCTTGCCTTTGTCTTTCGACGGAGTATCATCAATTCTCTGAGTATCATGAGCGGGTGTTTGCGGCCCAACTGCTGGTGAAGTGCCATAGGCGCGTGTTGATGGCGAGGAATCGAAAAGATACGAGGTTCGCTCCTTCGTCGCAAAGTCGGTGCCTGGGGTTGTCGCGCCAGAAATCACTGGGTGTGTTGGCAAAGCAGGGCTGTCTTCGGCATCTTGGTCAGTTGCAATCGAGCGTTTTGATGCACCCAGAGGAGTCTTCGGTTCCTTCGACCGCCTCAGCGTACGTGTTGCCTTCTCGACTGGCTGTGCTGACTGTGCAGTGGCGGGGTCCCGACTGCTGTCGTCTCGAACTTCGGCGAATGACCACGATGGCTCGTTGGCTGGTGCTGCACCATGCGTTGATGATTTGGCTTCTTTGGAGCGCTTGTCGGAGTGTGAGCGTTCTGATGCGACAACATGCGCTGGTGATGCTGTTCTCTCAGTGGTGAATTGAGGCTCTTGTGTGGACTCCAATGTGTGTAGGCGCTTCTCGTCCGGCTGCTCATCGTCAAAGGATACAGGGTGTGTCCTGCGCTTATGAACTTCAGGAACGGCAGCTGGTGTCTCGGCTGGTGGTGCGTCCCTCGACGCGGTGCTCGACTCTCCCTCAACCCTCTCTTCAGTCTTCCTGCTCTTTTTGCTCTTCTTTCTTGGCGATGGAGCCCATGCATCCATATCCCTCTCTTTCTCCAACTCCCGCCTGCGCGTCTCCTCCTTCCTCTCGATCTCCTTTTCTTGCGTCACCTGTGGAAATGGATATTCCTTCGGCTCTCCAGCGGTCAGTGAACGGGCTTCCTGATCGAATGTCACGGGCAGTACGGGCACATCGTCAGTGGCTGCAGGTTTGGCGTCCTTCGCTGACTTCCTGGACCTCTCCTTCCTCGCTATCGTGTCTTGTCTGTTTGAATCTTCCTCTTTGACGTCGATAGACTTGGCTTCCAAACCTGTTGTTTGCATTGGCATCTCCGGAAGGACATCGGTGGAGTTTGGCGCGCGAGGCACGGACTGAGCAGGCTCAATTCCGCGGACTGTGGAGTCAGCTGGAGTCTCAACAGCGAGAGGCACATCTCGATGAGCCTCGATCGCCGGAGTCTCTGCAGCTGTATACTCAACACGGTCTTGCGGACGTGGAGCTCCTTCTTCGTCCTTCTTTGACTTCTTGCCTCGAACAATCGGCGCAACTGAAGCGTCTGCTTCTTCGCGAGTGTGTTCAGATTCCACTGGAATTTCTGGTATCGGGTGACGCTTCTTCTTGCTCTTGTTCCTTCTCAAACTTGACGACCCGGCCAACTCATCAGGGTCAGCTTCTTCCAGAACACCAGGAGGTGACTTTCGCGTTGCAAAAGCGGGGTCGTTGAGCACATCCAGTGGGTCGAACGATGCAGTGTCAGTCGTTGCCATTGCTACTTCGATGGGTGGCAGAACATCGGGTCCGCTAGGTTGGAGTGTTCGTAGTTTTGGCGAGCCGGAGACCGATGATGAGCGACTCAAGCTACCGAGTCGTGATCTGCCGGCTCTTTCCTTTGCAGCGGCAATATCATCATCGGGCGTGATATCGCGAGCTCCTGATATGGAGTTCGAGCGATGGAAAGCTCTATCGTTGATGACATATCCAGGATCAAAACCGGACTCCTGCAAACTGGCGGCGACAGTAGCTGCGAAGTCTATGTCTCTTGCGGGCGACTTCGAATCTGATCGCACTGGTGATGCCAAGCCAAGTTGACTACGAGATGCAACTCGAGAATGGAGCTGACGCTTCTCAGGCGATGGGGATCGAGATAGGTATCGCTTCTCGGGAGATTGGGGTAGAATGGGCGTAACAGATCGTGATTGACTTTCGTACTGTTCGGCGAGGTTTCTGACACTGCCCGACCCTTCTTTTCGCAGACCTCGTTCCACAGGAGCGCCATCCGGTGATTTACCGCGCTCAAACAAAGCTGCCAACTTGTGTTTCTTAGATGACTTCTTGTGCAACAAAGGGTGCTGAGTAGTGCTATCAGATTCGCTGGCCCTGACGTGGAGATCAGGGATAGAGACGTTGGACATAGACCTGACGTGTTCCCTCTTCGGCTGGCTGAGAATTGCTCCAATTACAGGCGACCCGGGCGTTGACGGTGTTGTAGGCCTTTTCCTGGGAGAAAGGCTGCGTTCTCGGATCGTATCTTGGCGGTTGTCGTACACAATCTGACGCACAATAGTCGGTTCAGGGGCGGTCTCCTCGACCGGGACGATGGGTGCAACGCTAGAGGACTCTCTTGAAGTCGTCGGAGACTTTGACTTGCGCTTCTGCTTCTTGCTCTTCTTGGGGGTCGTCTCGGCCTCAGGGATGGCATCAGTCGTTGGGGCGTCGACGGTCACACGCTCTTCTGGAAGTTCTCTTTGAGCAACAATCCCTTGAGGCTGCTTCTCCGGGACCGGCGCGATTGAAATCTCTTCTGTGGGCTCATTTGGGATGTCCATAGGAGCCGTGACTTGCTGCTCCTTAGGCCTTGACGAGTCAAGAGAACGCTCTTCGGTTCGGACGTCTTCAGAGACCACTACATCGTCGGTTCTCGATGTGAGAGGCTGTTCAGCAAGCAGGTCTTGCTTCTTCCCCTTCTTGTCTTTCTTACTCTCTTTGCGTACGAGAGTCGGGGCAATCGCAGACTCTGGTTCTGATTCACGCACAGCGGGGAATTCACGAGGCTGCTCGGTGCTTTCCGTAATGGAAGTCTTGATGGCAAGGTCGATGGGAGTCGGTTCGGGCTGGACTTCGGTGACTTTAACCTCTGGCTCTGGGTCAAATCGTGGCATAGTAGATGGCTCGGACCGAGGTGCCTCTTCCATGACGTCCGTCGCGATTGGAAGTTCGACGATCGCTGGTCCATGGGAGAAAGTGTCCCTGGATACCTCTTGGGTTGTGTGCGGTATCTCCGTAACGATGGGCTCACTGGTCTCGGGTAACGGTGCGTCTACCGTAACGGGCGCCTCGGGTTCCTGCGCGGGGAGTGTATCTTGCTTGGCTCTCTTTTTGCCCTTCTTGCTGAGCTTAGGAGATGGAATAGATGGCTCCTCGAGAATTGGCTCTTGTTGCTCGACGACTGGTGGTGGCAGACTGTCCGTGGTTGCCTCTGCTGGTGTAACGATTGAGGTATCGACATGTGTCTCCACCTCACGTTGGTTCGGCGTCATAGCCGCGAGTTCCTCAATAGCTGCCTCCTTGGAAGCCTCGACACTCGTCGCAGGGAAACCCTCACTGGAAGGTGCTGGCACTGACGTAGCTACCTCATAGTCAGGCAAAACTACTTCCCGAGATTCAGTCGGGGTAGAGAACGGAACATCCTCTACCGCGGCAGCTTGCTTGGCCCTTTTCTTGTCTTTCTTGCTAAGCTTCCTTGAAGGCACTAGTTCCTCTTCTACAAGTGTCTGTTGAAGATCTTGGGTGACGGTAGATGAGGCCGGGATGTCGGCTGCAGCTGGCTCATTAAGTACTACTCTCTCAGTATCGATGGAACGGGAAGCCTGGTGAAGTTTCTCTGGCGCGACAGTGTCTGCTGAAGACTCAGTGACGACTGATGGTGACTCTGTTGACTGCTCGGCGATTGGCTCTGGGTACTCAACGATCGGCGCGCTCGACTGCGTTACTGTCTCGGAGGATTCGACTGGATCGACTGCAGGCTGCTTGCCCTTCCTTTTCTTCTCCTTCTTGCTCAGTTTGCGAGAAGGCCCATCGGTCGCAATGATATCCTCTGTCAGCGCTGGTGTTTCGACAATCTCTCTCTTATCGACAACTTGCTCTTCTGCTAAGGTCGGCGCAGCTACGAACGCAGGCGTCTCGACGACTTCCTTCGTCTCAACCGCAGCCTCAGGTTCGGCCGCAGGAGTCGTCGGCATAGCGTCAGTGTCGCCCTTGCTCTTTCTCGCCTTCTTCTTGTCCTTCTTCGTGAGCTTGTTGACAATATCGAACATGGAAGCGGGCTCGATGGTGGAGGGCTCATCAGCGTCGTCTCGTGTGGCGAGCTCAACATCGAGTGCTTCTGCACGGAGTCGCAGATCGGCAGCTTCATCTTGAATTGCCCTAAGAGAGGGGGAGAGCTCGCTTACTGGAACAGAGTCGTCATGAGTGATTTGACGAGCTTCTTCGAGTGTCGTGGTGGACTGAGTAGGCTCGATAGGCTGCTGCTCCTCAAGGCTCCGGTAGTTGTCTTCTGGAGTAGCTTCGGCGACGGCAGGTACTGGGGTCTCCTCGACTACTGGAACGACCGGCGCGCTCTCTTCTGCTGGCGTGGGAGAATGTACCAACTCTTTCGCGGCCTCAGTGATAGTTGGCTGAGGGACGACTTGCTTAATGGGTGTCTCAGTGACGATTTCTGGAGGGGTTTCACTGGCAATCGTAGCGGGTCCAGAAGTTTCGTTGTCGGCAAGAGACTTCCGGCCCTTTTTGGCCTTCTTCGTCTTCTTCGACATTGAGCGCGAAAGGGAACTTTCCTCCACTGGCTCAGGTAGAGTCTGCTCGTTGCTCAAGTCGATTGTTGTCGTTGCAGGCTCGGATCGCATCTCCGATGGCAGCTCTCTGGCGATTGAAGATGATGCAAGAGGTGCCTCCGGAATGGACGGTTCAGAGATGGCTGGCTGGGCTTCAATGCTCTCGGATTGTGCTTCTGGGACGCTCCTGGCCTCCTCCACTACAGTAGTTGGCTCCGCTGACGCTTCGACTGAGGCGTCTGGCATCAGCTCTTGAGGGGGTTGTTGCTCGGAGTCTTCAAAGATCGGTGGTGCGACAGTGGGAACGGCCACATCAGCTTCGGGGACAGAACGGTCCTGGACATCAGTGATGCCTGTTGAGACATCTTCCGGTAGCTTGTCAACATCCATCTCTTGTGAGAAAGCCGGCTCTTGAGGCTGTTCGATTGCTTCGGGAGTAATGTTGGCATGGACAACAGGCTCTTCCGTCTTTACAGACTCCGTTGTTGTCTCCTCGATCTGAGTGGTCGTCGAAGCCATTGGCTCAGTCTCCGGGATCATTGCTTCCTGATCCCGTAGACTGATAAGCTGTAGTCGCTCGGTGGCGGCGGGCTCAGTCTCGAACGTTTCCGTTGCTTGTACTTGCTCAGGAAGATTCGATGTTTCTTTGACAGGCTCCTCGGGGAGATCAGAAACAGCAGATTGCGTCTTACTCTTCTTGTCCTTCTTCGCCTTCTTGCTCTTCTTTGATGTGGAAACAATCGTGTCCTCCACTGTTGCTTCTTGAGACAAAGCCTCAATCTTCGATTCTGGTACCTCGCGCCAAGATGAAGACTCAACAACAGGCTCATGTACCACTGGGGAAGTCTCCTGGACACTCTCAACCGTAGTAGTATCGACTGCAGGCGCTAGTTCTACCGTCGCTGGCTTGACGGTGGGCTCAACGATAGGCTCAACGATAGGCTCAACGATAGGCTCGACGATAGGCTCGACAATAGGCTCGACGGTGGACTCGACGACAGATTCGATAGTGGGTTCCATGGCTGACTCCGTGGCTGGCTCCACGACGGGCTCTTCCTCAACAATGGGTTCCTCGACTAGAGCGGCGGCCTGCTTCTGAGCCTTCTTCCTCTCCTTCTTGCTCAGCTTACGCTCAAGAACAGGCTCCTGCGTAACGGTCTCATTCTTGACTTCTTCGACGACAGTCGTCTCTGGCACCGCAACAGGTTCGTTGACTGGAGGTGCAGTCTCGGTGGCAGGTGCTTCAATGACCGTTTCTGGCAGTACGGTAGTCTCTGGTTGAATCGGAGCCTCAACCTTCGACTGCTCATCTGGAACTGATGTAATGGTGTCTTGTACTCCGGCTGTAGGCAGCGCGATCTCCTCGATCGTAGAAGTAACGTTGTCGGAGTCTGCTGTAGGCAAGGCTTCGGGAGCTGGCGTTGTGACATCTGACTTCTTGCCCTTCTTCTTGCTCTTCTTCTTGGAGACCGATGGGGATGCCGGCTCCTCGACTTGAGGCTCAACGTCCGTAGTCGGTACATCGGAAGGTCGCTCATCAACGATTGCTGGAGTGACAGTGGTGTCTGGCACTTGTTGGCTGACTGTCTCCTCGATTTGATCCTCGGTTGCGATTTCCTGTGTAACAGGAGCCTCTTGTGCAGCAGTGACTGGCGCATCGATGACTGGCACCTCTTCGATGGATCGTTGAATGGTAGGCTCTTGAGCAGTATCAGGCAAGGGCGTTGGAATAGCGTCCACGAGAGGCGGCGTAGGATCGGCTATCTCGGTTTCTTCCTTGGTCTCCTCCGTTGGGGGCATGGTTAGTGCGCGGTCGTCCAGTGAAGGTTCTTGGTCAATCGTAGGGACAATTGTCTCAACCACAGCATCTTCCTGAGGCAAAGAGAGTGGCACATCCCGAGTCGCTGGCTCATTGATGCTAGCGCCAACATCTTGGACGGTTTCGACCCCGGGCTGTGCTGCGACTTCATTGACAGGCGTGATAGCATCGGAAGCCTTCGATTTCGCCTTCTTGGCCTTCTTCTTGTCCTTCTTGGACAACGGTGCGGCCTCAGCGATCTCGAGTGGAGCCTCTGGCTCTACGATTGGGGTCAAAAGTTGCTCGTCTTGGGCACCTGATGTGATCTCAGGCTGGATTGGGCCGACAAACTCCTCCCCAACTGTCTCGGCTGGTGGGCTGATGATGCGATCTTCAGGTAGCGGTACCTGAGCGGCGTCTTCTACAGGCTTGAAGATCACTTCTTGATCAAGCTTTGATTCCGCAAGCTCTGAGGATTCGCGGGTGTCTTCGGTGACAGGTACTGGTGCATCTTCAGACGTTATCGGCTCGTTGACGGTAGTCTCTGGAACGAATGGGATGTCCTCAGGCTTTGGTGCGGATACATCTTCAACTGGTGTGGACTCAATGACCGGCGTTGTCTCGGTCGCTGGTTCAATGGCTCGCTCGGCCACCGGCTCCAAGACCGGCTTAGCAATTGGCTCGACGACCGCGTCGGCAACTTCTTCAATGACCGGAGTAGGCGCGGCCTCCGTAGTAACATCTCGAGGTAAGTCTCGAAGTATATCAGGAGTGGTCTGCTCTACTACTTCTTCCGCTTGAGATTGTTTCTTGGCCTTCTTGCTCTTCTTCTTGTCTTTCTTCGAGAGCGAAAGTACGGGAAGCTCCTCCGTGGGCGATTGAAGGGCAGCAGGAGTTGTTGGCTCAAGCTGTGTTGTTGTCGGAGGCTCGGATACGATTTCTGGAACCTCAGCGGGCGCGTCACGTTCGATGCTTGGTAGCGAAGGTTGCTGCGTCTCTTCGACAGGCTTCGAGATCGGCTCTTCTGGGCCGGTAGTCTTGTCGTCTGTTGTCGGAACTGCTGGTTGAACATCCTCGACCTGTTCAGGAACCGTGACCTCGCGTGACACTTCTGATTCGTTGACTGGTTCAGACGCCAGCGGGGTTGGCTCAACATGAACGGATGGCAACTCCTCTGGCTGGGAAGACTGGACTTCAGGAACGGTCTCGATAGACGACGCCTGCTTGGCCTTCTTGCTCTTCTTCTTGCTTTTCTTTGAAGAGGTCGGCTCCTCGATTGTCGGCGTTGGAACTTGCTCCACTTCCGGAACGACAATGGCGGGCTCTTCGATGTTTTCAACGGTACGTTCAGCATCTTGGGGCACAGGCTCCGCGATGGTCGTTTCTTCGGTAACCCCAAGCAAAGAAGCGGGAGTCTCGGGCTGTGTGGTTGAATCCTGGCGCTCGTCTGTCGTGACCCGAACAGACACATGCTCTTGGACATCAGGCGTTACGTGTTGGTCCTTACGAAGGGCGGGTTGTTTGACAATAGGCTCTGTATCTGCTTGAGGCTCGGAAGGATGCGCAACCTCGATGTCTCGAACAATTGCGACATCCTCTGAAGGCTTGACGTCCTCGAATGCAGACGCAATTGGTACTTCAGGTTCCACAACTGTGATATCTTCGTTTGGCTTGTCGGCAACATCGCGCTCAGGCTCAGTGACGCTGGTGGCTTGCTCCTGCTCCTCTAGTGCGGAGGCGCGCTTGCCCTTCTTGTTCTTCTTTTTCTTCTCAGAAGGAGCGGCCAAGCCCTCATCAGCTTCGCCGAGTGAACGGGTTGGTTGTGTTGCTGGCGTCTGAGAAGATTCCTGCACAACTTCCTTGGTCTCGTCTTGTTGCTGCAGAGCAGTCGGTTGATCTTCTTCAACGACCACCGGAGTAGGTGTGGGTTCCTGGAGCGTTTCCACCGTAATTGGATCTTCCAGTGTGGGCGCTGAGTTGACACCTGGAGGCGGGGATGGCTCAGTGGCGCTGGTATCGACTGGAATGATTGTCTCAGACGCAAGGTCTTCCAGAACAGGTGCTTGCTCCTCGATATCCCTCGCGGCAACGTCTGCAACGGCAGTTGTGGGCTCTTGCGGCGCGGTCGACTCCAAAGGCTGTTCAACTTCCACTGACTTCTCCTCAGTAGCGATCGTGGCAGTCTGCTCTGGCAACCCCTCAACTATGACCGTAGGCTCTCTACGCTGATCAGCCTCGGCAACCACCTCCTCAACCTTCTTCTCCTGCTCTTCCTCGACTCCCCTCTCCACTATCTCCTTCTCAACATCCCCCTTTTCCTCGTCTTTCTTCTCCTCCTCACGTTCCCTCTCCTCCCTCGCATCATGAATCTCCACCTCCTTCTTATCATCAAAATCATCAACAAGCTCGTTATTCGTAAAAGATTGGGGATATTGTGTCGGTATCCCCGAGAAAGGTAGTTGGGTCTCCGAAAGTGTAGGAATCGACAGAGACGGCTGAGTATCAGAGTTGGCTGCCTCAGGCGTCTCATCTGCTAAAAAAGGCTCCGCAGTTGTTGCCTTCTTAGCTTGCTTCTTGGCCTTCTTCTTGTCCTTCTTGGAGGAGGAAGGGGACGAAGGCGCTTCGAGCTCTCTGTCTGGCGGCTTGGGATCGCCTGGTGACGGGTCTGGTGTAGCAGTAGTTGGTGCAGGGTCTTCAGCTAGGGTTGAGGTGGTTGTTGGCTCCGAAGTTGCGGTGGGCTGCTCGAGGTATGCTTCAGCCTGCTTCGCCTCGCTGATAGGTTCCGCGACTGGCAGGGCACGGGGTTCATCCGCTTGGGGCAATTGCTCAGTAGTGGTCTCCTTAACCACTTCGGGAACAGATGACTGAGGCTCGGCAGAAAGAACCTTTGACAAATCCTCTGCAGGTGTGGCTGGCCGGGATGATTCTACTTCAGCAACGGATGCGCGTTTGGCTTTCTTCAACTTCTTCTTTTGCGACTTCGATAGCCCAGCCCATTCCTCTGGTTCTTGCTCGTCGTCCGGCTGGACTTCTGCAGAGGTGGCAGTGGTGCTGGGGATAGTCTGTGCGTCTGGTGTGGTAGTCTCAACCGAGTTGTCAGCCGTAGGCGCAATGCTGGGCTTCTCGGTCTCGGTGGCGGCGTTCACATCGCGGCTGGTAGCTGGTTCCTTGCCTTGATCGACCTCAGTTGTAACTGTAGCCGGTGCAGTCGAATGATTAAGATCTGTTCGTGGCGCTTCGTCGATGATGGCGCTGGTAGTTGTCGTGTCAGGCACCACCGAAGGCTGTTCACCTGATGAGGACCCAGCTGTCTCGGGCAAAGGCTCGGCGGAGATCACAGGCTCAGAAGACTCAGCCTTGGGCTTCTGGGCTGCTTTCTTCGCCTTCTTCTTGTCTTTCTTCGACTGTGACGCCGTGTCCTTTTCTTCCGTGGGTTCCGTGACAATCTGCTCAACCGCAGGAGTGGATACTGTTGTATCCTCAGACACAGTGGGAACAACGTCTGACTGCTCTTTCTGGTCAACTGCTGGTACGGCAGACTCTTGTTCAACAGTAGGAACATCTTTGACAGCTTCCGTAAGCTCTTTAGCAGACTCATCAACCGGAGTGGAAGGCAGCGATGGCTCAGCCTCCGCGGCTGATACACGCTTGCTCTTCTTCGCCTTCTTCTTGTCTTTCTTGGAAGGTGTGGTTGGCTCATCGATGGTCGAAGATGTCGCTACGGGCTCCTCTGCCGAAGTCTCGGTCGGAATGGTGGCAGAGACTGGCTCGGAAGCCACTACCTCAGATGGCTGCTCTTCTACAACTGTGGTCGCTGGAAATTGCTCTTCTTCGACTGGAACGGCAGAAGACACGTCGCTCTTGCTTGGCTCCTCAACAATCACGGGAGTTGCAGTAGGCTCCGTTGATGTGGCTTCGTCGGGCTGCTGCTCAAGAACCTGAGTAGCAATGTCAGTAGCGTCATCAAGAGCGCGCTCTAATGACCTTTCTGCTGGTGTCTCCACTTGAGTCTCCGTCTCCGCCTCCGCAATCGATTCGCGCTTTGACTTCTTCGACTTCTTCTTGTCCTTCTTTGAGACCGGGCTGGTAATCTCTGGCACAGCCTCAACTTGACTGAGTTCTTCGGAAGCAGGTTCGGGTGTAGCAATGAGCTGTTCGGCAGGCGTAAGGTGAGATGAAGTGTCTTCGGTGACGTCGGTCAAAGTGCTTGGCACCCCTTCCACAACGGGAACTTCCGAGGCGGGTACCTCTGTAGCTGAAGATGCAGGCTCTTCCAAGACTGGCTCAGTCTTCTCTTCGACAGGGGTTGACGGAATGGAAGTGGGCTCCTCGGCGATCGAAACGCGCTTCGCCTTCTTTGCCTTCTTCTTGTCCTTCTTCGAGAGTGGAGCGGCGACTTCCTCAGTGACCTCGGGCACGGGTGCATCGGCAGCCAGCGTCTTCTCAGTCGGCTTGGACTCAACTATTGGCTCCTTGGACACTGATGCTTGCTCTTTCTCTTGAACCGACGCCTCGGCAACGGATGGGGCTGTGGTATCGACAGTCGCTTCGCGCTCAACAGACACTTCTAGCGCGGGCTTGGTGTCAGAAGTAAGTTCCTCGGCGGTGGCGGACTCAGGGAGGGTGTCAGAAACGATGGTAGGCACAGGTGTCGGGTCCGCAGCAGGTTCAGGTACAGTCGCTGCTTGCTCAGGTTGGATAGTGTCCTTCTCCTCGGTTGTCGCTTCAGGAACGGAAGGAACAGTAGGCTCTCCGGCAATGGAAGCACGCTTAGCCTTCTTGGCCTTCTTGCTCTTCTTGGAAGTAGACTCCTCCTCATGCTGTTCAGTCGCAGGCGCAACGTCCTCGTTCTCGACTACTGTAACTTCATCTTGCGCTCCAGTTACAGCCGCGGTATCGGTCGCAGAGGTGGCAGCGGCGTCTCCAGCTAGCGGAGTGCTTGGAAGTACATCATCTTGACCTGCGATGATCACCGGCATCGACTTGGGAGATGTAGCCTCGGGAATGGTTTGTGTCTCAGCGACGGGCTCTTCGATGGGTGTCTCGTGGACAGTCGGCAGGACATGTTCCTCCTGAGCTGGCTCATCAACGGTCTTCGAGACGGTCTCGACTGGCGCAGAAGATACCTCGGGTATCTCACTCTCAACTTCAGCCTTCTTGGATTTCTTAGCCTTCTTCTTGTCTTTCTTTGAGAGTGGTGTCGCTTCCTCGGTGGCTTGCTCTGGGACGGGTTCATCACGTGCTGGCTCAAGATCGATCACCTGAACCACTTGTTCAACCTGCGCTGGCTCTGTAGGAGCGGGGACGTCTTGCTCAGTAGTAGAGGTCTCCACAGGCGTAGGCAGAACATCGGTAGTAGGCTCGGACGTAACATCGCGACTAACCGATTCTTCAGTGGCCGCAGCGGTAGATGGAAGCGCTTCTTGGACAGTGTTCTCCGGGAAGACTGGCTCAGACTCGGTAACGGGAGTCTGGGGTTCGGAGATCAACTCTCCCTTCTTGCCCTTCTTCTTCTTCTTGCTCTTCTTGGGTGTACTGGGAGCATCTTCGGCCTCAACCTGGTCTTGAACTTGTGAAATCTCGGGCAGTGTCCTCTCCGTTGATGCAACATCATCGAATGAACGCTCTGTAGTCTCAAGAGGTGCTACCGAGCTCACAACGTCGGCAGCAGGCTCGGTTGGCTTCTCGAAAGAGGCATCAGCGACCTTGGGCTCGACCTCTGAAGGTTTGACGGTTTGGTGCTGCTCAGTGGTTGCGGGTGCAGCTGCCTCAAGGTTGACATCAAGCTTGGCATCGGCAGCAGTATCTTCCGTAACAGGCTTAGGCAGAGGCGTCGCTGGGATTTGCTCAGCCTCGGCCTCTTGGTTGGCTTTCTCCTTCTTTGCCTTCTTCTTGCCCTTCTTTGAGACAGGCTCGGCACCCTCATTCTCGATGTCTTGGCTGGAAAGGGTAGGCGCAACCGAAGCTTCTTCAATGGGCGTATCCTGCTGCGCGGATGGAACGTCCGCAACGCTCTCCTGGATGAGTGCAGGCACATTGGTGTCAACGACTGTGCGAGTCGGTTCCTGCGAAGGCAGCAAAGTATCTTCAATACGTTTCTCCTCTTGAACAGTCTCAGAAGGGACGTCGAACTGTGGTGCTGGCTCCTCAGTAACCGGTGTGCTGGGCTCAGTAGTGTCGATGGATTTGCCTTTCTTACTCTTCTTCTTCTTGCTCTTCTTCGAGATTGGCTCAGCTGGTTCGGCTTCGGCGACAGGCTCAGCGGGAGCCACAGGAACGTCGAGGTCTTGGCTGCGCTCTGGCTGTGTGGTATCCACCTTATCAGAGATGTCGGTAACGACTTCAGGAACAGCAGGAACGTTCTCCGCAGCCTCGACTTGAGGAATTGCAGGCTCGTCGAGGTCTTTGTCGTCGGTTTCAGGAAGAGCTACGAACTCAGCTGGTAATGCTTCTTCTTGTGACTTCGCGGCCTCAATTTGAGGTATTCTCTGCTCTTCCAAATCCTTGTCGTCGGTTTCGGGAAGAGCGACAAGCTCAGCCGATGGAGTCTCGCGCTCTAGCTTGGAAGTCTCACCTGGCACCGATGGTGTAGTCTCAGCTGTGGGCACCTCAGGTTGAGCAGACTCCGCGAACGGATCTGGTTGAGAAGAAGTTACTTCAGTGATACGCGTGCTTGGCTCGGTTTCAAGTGACTTGCCCTTCTTAGCCTTCTTCTTCTTGCTCTTCTTCGATGGTGTTGCTGGCAGATCATCCACAATCGGCTCGTCGATCTCTCGAGCTGGCGTCTCTGGAAGAGGTACTGCTTCTGCTTCGGTGGTTGAAGCCTCATGCAATGTCTTTGATGGAACATTCTCGGCAGGCACCGAAGGCTGAGAAATCTCCGCGATGGGCTCATCGATCTCGCGGGCCGGCGTCTCTGGAAGAGGCACCGCCTCTGCTCCGGCGACTGCCTCTACAGGAACCTCAGGCGCGACTTCGATCGCTCGGTCTGCTGCGATTGCTTCAGTCTCGGCCTGAGCCTCTTGGATTGGCTTGGGAAATCCAGCGAGTGCGGCATCCTCAATTGACTTAGATTCAGGTCCAGCAGCTTCGATAGAAGGTTGAGTATCCGTCTGCACATCGGCTAGGTCTGAAGAAGTGGGTTCGATCTCGGCGGATTTCCCCTTCTTGGCCTTCTTCTTCTTGGACTTCTTTGATGGCGTAGAAGGCTCTTCCTCCAATGGTGTCGCAGGCTGCTGTGACTCTTCGGCAGGAACTTCTTGGGCAGGAACTGGAGTGTTCGTGGGAATCTGCCTTTCGACGATCTCGGGTGTTGCTTCAACGCCGACCGTAGCGGGTGCAGGGGTGACATCGGTCGATGCCTCCTGGAGCGACTCGGGTTGTTGTTGCGATTGGGGTAGAGTTTCATTGACGGCCTCAGCTTCAATATCGGTGGTCGGGGTAGCCAGTGCCTCGTCATCGGCCTTCGCCTTCTTGCTCTTCTTCTTTTTCTTGTCTTTTTTAGAAGAAGATGGGGCCTCGGCAACATCATCGACGACTAGATCCGCAGGCTGGCTTGGCTCGGCGATTGGTGCATCTTGTGTCGGGACGATAGGAGCCTCAGACAGGGGCTCAAGTCGAGTTGGTTCGGCTGACGCAGAGATCTCGTTCGCACGCTCCGCAACGTCTGACTGCAGCTGTTCTCTGGGAAGGGCCGATCCAGTCTCCTCGGTAGCCGTATCCTTCGCATCTACATTGTCCTTGACTGATGTCTCCGCACCAAAGAGTCCCTCCCCTTGGCCAATGTCTCTACTCTTGCTCTCCTCCTCTTGACCCACAACCTCCTCCACAGGCGTCTCGACACTCTTGCTCTTCTTCCCCTTCTTCTTCTTGTCTTTCTTCGAAGTAGGTGTCGATGGCGTGTCCTCAACTGTCGGTTCAACAGAAGAGGTGACTTCGTCCACAGATTTTGGCTGCTCTAACGGAGTAGAGAGATCTTCATCGAAGCTCTCTATTGGGAGAGGGACAGTGGCTGCATCAGCTCCATCGTCGTGCTTCTGCTCTGGGAGAGAGAACTCTACAGCAGAAACGTGACCGGCAGATGAAGGTTGCTCGATATCGCGGGATCGATCAACTACTTCGCTTGGAGTTGCTACTGGTTCGCTGATTGGGGCAGAAGTCTCGAGGGGTGCGTCGGTCTGCTCAGGTACGGCTTCGGTCTCAGGCTGGGGTGTCACAGTGCCGCTCTTCCGCTTGCTCTTCTTACCCTTCTTGGTCTTGGCTGTAGCAACAGTCTCAGCTTCTACAGGCGCAGAAGAGGGCTCGGGAATTGGCTCCTGCTTAACAAGAACATCTCTTGGAACTTCCTTTTCGAGAGGCTGCATGAGATCTTCATCAAGTTGTGCAGCAGGCAGAGGAACGTCAGCGGCCTCGACAATAGAAGGTTGGGTGACATCCGGAACGGCAGTCGGCTGGTTGGCGACAGACTCAGGAGCTGTAATAGAAGATGGCTCGGGAGTAGTTGTAGGCTCCTCCCGAGGCGTGGAGATACCGCTCTTCTTCTTGTTCTTCTTGCTCTTCTTCGCCTTTGGCGCATCGTCTTGAACAGAAGGCGAGGACTCAACTGGTGCTTCACGCTCTGTCGGGGTGGCCACATCGAGAGGCAGAGAGGGCTCTTCACGGGAAGGCTCTTCAACAGTCGGTGCGAGCTCGGATACAAGCTCTGCAGCCTCCGTGTTGGAGGGCGCAATCTTCTCTTGCACGATCTCTGCGGATACCGGTTCAGTAACAGTCTCGGTGACAGGTGCAGATTCGCTTGCAGGAGCATCCAGGGAACGTTCAGCAGCAGATTCGATTGGGGTTGTTGGGGCTGCGGTCTCAACCTCAGTGCTTTCGAGTTCAGCCTTCTTGTTCTTCTTGCTCTTCTTGGCCTTCTTCTTGCTGACAGGTGACGTGACTTCATCTTCGGCGATGGTAATTGGCTCTGTAGTAACTGGTTGCTCGGGCTTGACGGTACTTTCGGCAGAATCAACGATAGGCGGCTCTTCAGTCAGAGGAGTTGGCTCAGATACTAGCTGTTCGCCCCAAGCCTCTATCGCAGATTCCAAAGGCGTCTCAGCAGGTTTGGCTGTTTCAGGTTCAGGCTTGACAGGCTCAGCGGTCACCTGGTCGCCCAGATCCTTTGCCGCCGCGTCAACTGGAGCATCGACGGACTTGGCAGCGTCGGCTGCAGGCTCATCGAAATCGGGAATCGGTACGCTGCTCTTCTTCGCCTTCTTCTCCTTCTTGGTCTTGATGATCTTCTTCTTTGACGAGCTGGGTTCAACCGAGATACGGTCGTAAGCTGAACCGCCAGACTCGGTCGGGACGAAGTCAGAGATCGTGCTAGTGGGCTTTCCAGCATCAGTGAACAGGCCACTTCGGCCAAGAGACAATTGCTCAGCAGGCTTCTCTTCGACGATGGTGTCTTTGCTGACCGTTGCCGAGGGCTGGGCGGGTGCTGCCACTGATGGGAACGTGAACGAAGGCTTACCATTATCGGTAAAGAAACTGGTCTGAGGTGCAACGAAAGTGGCTGGCTCTTTTGTCTTCGCAGGGGCGTTTTCATCGGCAGTTGAGGCAGTTTGCTCAGTAGACTTTGGCACTGATGGGAATGCAAATGAAGGTCTTCCATCATCAGTGAAGAATGTGCTCCGTGGCGCAACAAACGCTGGCTTCTTCTGCTCTTCCACAACCTCTGCTTCCTTTGCGACCGAAGGAGCTTGTTCGGTAGTCGTAGATGGGATCGAAGGGAACGAAAACGAAGGCTTCCCATCATCTGTGAAGAAAGCATTGCGTGGCGAGACATCAACAGGAGCTGGTGTATCATTCGCGACTGGAACTTCTCTAGATACGACGCTTGATTCAACCGCGGGGGCGGGTGACGTCTTCGGGAATGTGAACGATGGTTTGCCGTTGTCGGTGAAGAATGCGGTACGCGGGGACACAAAAGCAGGGCTCTTTTCCTCTTTGGCAACAGGTGCCTCTTCAGGCTCGGTCGTTGGCTCAGCTGCAGGCTTGGTGGATACTGGTGGGAACGTGAAAGACGGCTTGCCGTCGTCAGTGAAGAAGGCAGTAGATGGAGTGGCATCCTCAGATTGCTTTGTAGCCTTCTCTTCAACGACAGGAGCCTCCTTGGGAGTCTCGATAGATAGTTGTTGAGGCGCCGTGGAAGCCTGAGGGAATGCGAAAGAGGGTTTGCCATCATCAGTGAAGATCGCAGTGGGAGCTGTGGTGCTCGAGCTAGCTTCTTCCTTGACAATTTCGCGGGTCGTAGCCTCAGTAGGTCGCTGTGTAGGAACAGACGATCTCCTAGACTCAATCTTCTGCAGCAACTCCGGCTTTGACGTCTCATCCTGCGTCTTCACTCGGGAGATGGAAGGCCTCTTCTCAGACTTGGAACTCTTCCTCTCAGACACAGTTGGTGAGGATGGTTGTGACTTGCGCTTGGCCTCTTCTCTGGCTGCAGCTAGTGCGGCGAGGACGGCAGATTGGGGCTTCGGAGAAGACGGAGGCTCGGATGTTGGCGGCGGCGGGGCCTTCTTCTTGCCCCATCCAATAGCACCCCACAGGCCGGAACCCCAGCCTGAACCTGCCGATTGCCCTTCGATCCCAGAGGCTCGGCGGTTTTCTTCGACGGGAGTGTTCTTGGCTTGTTCGGCGCCGTCAGCTGTGCTAGGCCGAGCTGGAACCTCTGGTGTGGCAGGCCCAGCTGTAACTTCCGACTTGGGCTCTTCGGGGTTTGCTGGAGTAATGGGTACAGGCTCTGTCGCTTGCTGGACTGCTTCGTCGGTCGAGGGAGCTGGTGGTTCTTCGGGGACTGCTGGAGCAGTAGGTGCAGGCACCGCCTCTTGCGAAACTGCTTCATCAGTCGAAGTGGCTGGTACTTCTTCTTGAACCAAGAAATCCATGACATCAACCTTGTCCTTGGGCTCTTCGCGTTCGAAAGATGGCTCGAAGATATCGCGTTCAATAGTGTCTTGTTGCGACTCCGACGAAGGCAAGATCTGGTCATCTTGCGTGGAAACTTCCGGTAGGGATACGGGCTCGACCTCGGGCTCAGCCTCAGCTTGCTTGTTGCCGCGTTTACCCTTCTTGTTCTTCTTCGCCTTCTTGGACTTGGGTGTAGTCGCAACTTCCTCCTCGATGACCGGCTCAGGAATTGAGGGTTCAGTAGACTTGGAAGAGCTGGGTTCGACAGGGGCGTCTTGTGAAACTTCGACAGCTGTAGCAGCCGGTTCGGTAGTGATCCCAAGACCCTGCTTTGCCTCTTCAACAGATTCGATTGATCTCGCAGTTTCTTGAGGGATATCAAAGACGGCGCGTCGAACCTCGGTGGATTCGTCCTCTTTTGGTGCAGTAGTGTCCAAAACCTTCTGTTGAAAGGCCTTGGTATCCTTGGGCGTTCCGACAGGCTCACCAACAAGCGTAGCATCGTCCGTAACGACGGACTCAGTCCTATTCTTGGCCCAATCTTCCTCGTTGTCAACGAACGTAGTGGCGAAGCTGAAGGAGGGCGATGGCTTGATTATCTCCTCGGGTGATTGAGCTACGGGTGATGGGATAACAGGCGACGGGGATACGGGAGACTCGGCGGCGACGGGCTCCTTGCCCTTCTTACTTTTCTTGGTCTTCTTGGCCTTACCCTTGCCCTTTGGCGATGGTTCGACAACAGGTTCGATGGTTTCCGGCTCAGGTTGCTCTGGCTCAGCAGCGGACGAAGCCTTGTCTTTGGTGTCATCGCGCTGAGATCGAGTTGGTGAAGGAGAGCGTTTTCGCAAAGCAGCTGCTGTCAAACCACCTACTACTGCGCTAAGAGCAGCGTCTTGGAGTCTCGATGAGCTGCTCGATGGGGCAGAAGTAGTGTCGCGTGATTCAGGAACGTCGCGCATTATCTTGTCGTCGAGCGGCGCGCTTGTCTCAAGAGGAGTCTCCGCCTGTGGGGAGGTCAAAGTCGACATGAAATCGTCGGTGGACGAATCCTGTTCCTGTGCTCTGGCATGCTCCAGTGCCGCAGTAAGCGATTCATAGTTTGGACCGCTAGACGGTGCCGACGCTTCCTGCGCACCTGTGAAGTAGTCAGAGGCCTTGGGTGTAGCTTGGCCAGATTCTTCGACCTCTTCAATCTCGCGATGGGCAAGCTCGGGATGCTGAACCTCCGGTCCATGGCTGGGCGCAATGAGGTCGGCTACGGTACTCAAAGGATCGAAAAATGAGTCATAAGATGACTGTCCAGCGCTCTCATAAGGTGACTCTTGAGCAGACTCAAACTCTTCTTCTGAATCCGCGCCAGAGACTACTGAAGAAGCACTACTGGGTGGAAGTGCTGGCAACACCTCATCGATCTCATTGGACTTGCGGTTGCGCTCCACCAGATACAAAGGTCGGAACTCTCGAGAGTTCCTAAACTCTGTGGAGTGCGTCTTGCCATGGCGAGAACGGGTTGGTGAAGGGCCAGGAAGAGGATCAGCTGCTAAGCTAGGGTCAACGGTAGAGGGTATAACGGGCTTGCGGAAGCGTATGGGAACTGCCGTTGAAGATAGTCGACGTTGAGAAATCGCAGTCGAAGGACGTGTGACGTCTGGCGAACGTGTTGGTGAACCTGGCCTAGACAGCGGCAGCGGAGGTAGCTCATCGGGGAAAGCTTCCAGCTGCCAAGGCTGAAGGCCTGTCAGACGAGTTAGAAGCGCGCGGCTGTCTTCGAACGATAGTTCGGGCGGTAGGTCGTTGTCTCCAGAGGCGGTGAAGCGTTGGGCATCATCCGAGGTCGAAAGAGGAAACTCGGCCCGATCTCCAAGGATTATGCCACTACCCTCGTGGGCCTGATCGACAGGCTCACTTACGGGCAGTGGACTTGGAGTGGCTGTGGTCACTGCCCGATCGCCTAAAAAAGACTGCTGTTGTGGTTGTTGTTGTTCATCGGCATGCGAGGGCGGGGTTCGAGGTGGTAAGAGATCCTATAAACACGACATCAACATTCATTCTAAATACATTGCGAACAACGGTGCTATCGCACATGAGAAGAGCGATGTACCTTGTCATCATAAGCATCCGTCCTGTCTCCGTCTCCTCTCTCGCTACGACTGCGGCTGCTCCTCTTTTCGCGTCGACTACTGGTCGAGATCGTGGAGCGCATGTCATCATCGTCTGAGCCGCCGTAGGTAGAACCGCGATCCGACCGATGCTTCCGTCTACGATGTTTGCGCTCTTCATCGTCGTCGTCCTTAGATTTCGAGGACTTGCTTGAAGCTTCTTTCAAGTTCTCCCTCGACTTGCTGCCGAAAAGGCCCAGGAAGCCACTTGGACGTTTCTCCTTCTCCCTCCTTGAACTGCGATCCTCGTCTAGATCTGGGATTGAGGATACGACGGAAACCATGTCATCATCTCGTTTGGATCGTCTCCGGGAGGACTTGCGATCGTCATCGTAGTCGCCGAGTTCGGAAGCTGCTGTGGAGCGTGATCTAGTCTTGGTCTCGGGTGATGCGTCTCTGTCGCCATCCCTTCTCCTGTGCTTGCGTCGTCGCTCGCCAGTCTCGGAGATGGCGGATTTCGTGTCCCAGTCGTCAGCGCCCTCATCAGCCTCATGATGGCGATGTCTTCGCCTCCGTTCTCCACCCTCTTCAAGATCGTAACCGCGGTCGTGGCTTTTCTCACGTGTCTCGGACTTGGCTTCGCGACGTCTGCGGCGTCTCTCCTCGCGATCGGGGTCGTCGTACTTGTAGCTCAGAGAAGCGATTGAGCCCACATCGTCATCATCGTACCTGCGTGGTCTGTCGTCGAAGTCATCATCGTATCTGTCATCGACATCCTGGTCGCGATCGTTTCGTGAGTGCCTGTCCTTTGCCTCCTCGTTGAAGTCTGCGGGATAGAATCCATTTGATTCTTTATCGTTGCCCGCCCGGCTCGGCACGTCGTCGGGAGCATAGTACCCAGAGTCGGTTACGTTACGAGCGGTGACTGGATCATGCGCCATCGTGAACGGCGCTGCGGTGGGAACCTTTGGGGCCTCGACCATCGTTTGATATCTGGAAGGATCGGGAATGGTGCGGGCGTTTATGTAGTCGTCATACGTCGTCTCGGTCCTGAGAGGAGAACTGATGCTAGGTGACCATTTGCCGCTACTGTGTCTTTTCTGGACTTTCGGCCTGGGTGTCTTATCGGCCAGCTCCTCAACACCCTCGAATGCGTAGCTTGGGATGGTCACATTCTTCTCATTTCGTTCGAGTGCACGTGCGCCATTCGGTGGAGATACAGGAGAGTCGCGTGAATGGTGCTTCTCTGTGGACTCAAGATCCTTCCTGGCACGCTCGGCATCTGAGGCCATTCTGTTTTGATCCTGGTTCATAGTCATGCCCATTAGAGCAGCGAAACCACCGGCCATGGCAGCGGTGGAGGCTTTACTGCCGCTGCTCTCACCTTGTCGCGCGGGCTTCTTCGGAGGACTGGGGGACTCTTGGAATGCTTCTCCTAGACGTGGTGGTTCGGCCGATCGAGAAGGCTCAGTGGAGCGAGAAGAGTCGGCGAATCGTGAGGTTTCAGCAGATCGAGAAGGCTCAATATCCCTGGGATCTCGGGAGGGCTCGATGTCCCTGGGATCGCGGTCCATTATCGGGCTTGATGGCGGACTGGGATCACTCATCTCCCAAGTGTCCACACTGGCTCGCTTCGATGACTTGGACTTCTTCTTCTTGTCCTTCTTCTCCTTCTTGCTGAGCTTGACCTCTGGCTCCGCTTCCCTCTCTTTCACTGCAGGTGTTGGCTCTCCACGTCGAGAAACATTCTGCATAGCTATAACTTCGTCAGTATCGTTAGCCTTGTTCTTACCCTTTGTGTCCTTCTTCGCGGACGATGCCGGCGGCTCCTCTGCGAGTACCTCAGGGTCCGGTATGTCGTCCCAGCCGCCGGGCATGTGCATAGACACTGGCGGTGTAGGAATCTCGCCTTCAACAAAGCCAGGTCCCACTGTACTCTGTTGGGGCGTCCTCCACGCGTCGCGCTCTGACTCAGGCTGCCAGTATGCCGTCTGAACGCTGCTCGTAGATGGCACAGCTGAGATGATGGAAGGAGTGACTGTGGAAGATGGCGCAGCTGAGATGATCGATGGAGCGATAGTTGAAGGGGCCCTGTTTCCATCAGAGAACGGGTTGCTGAGGGAAGACGCGGTAGGATTGCTGAATCCAGCTGCAGTGGCATTGCTGACAACAGTGCTGACGGTAGACGCAGTTGGATCGCTGAAATCGTAGGAAGTCGCACTGCTGAGGTTTGATGCAGTCGGGTTGCTCAGGGCAGATGCAGTTGGATTGTCGCGTCTGTAGCTACGCTCGTCCTCTTGATCTCGTTGATCTCGGGAAAGAACCGCTGCAGTCGTTAGTGCTGCAGCTGCTGCCGCTGCTGCTGACTTCTTCTCCTTCTTGTTGCTCTTCTTGGAAGCAGCATCCACGACACTGTCCCAACTGGAGTCCTTCTCGTCCCGAATGTATTGCGTGCTTGGTGCAGACTCCTTACTCTCGGGGACTCTGGACATCTCGGGGCGGTAGGGTGTGTAGGTGGACGTCGTCTGTTCGGGCTTGGGCGGCTCGCGCTCGACCGTGGCTTCACGCGACCTGAGATCGCCATCTGAGACGAATTGTTCGCGGTAGGACTCCGGAGTAGGGACGTCAAAGTGGTGGAACTGGTTCTCGCCCCAGCTTACCCTAGATCTTGCTCGGTTCGATTCGTCATCTCTTGGCTCGCGTCTGGTCTCTCTAGTCTCCCTGATAGGCTCCATTGCTGGTGATGGAGGGGCAGATGCACTGCGCACAGAAGGTGTGCGACTACCGGGAGGAGTAGGCAAGATGAGGTTCAGCGATGGAACTTGAGGTAGCGGTTGGGGTTGAGAGGACCGACCATTTCTGGTGGCAGTGAATGCGTACGACGGAGGATAAGGAGGGAGCTTGGGCTGGCTGACAGGATAGTCTTCCCAGGATTGGTAGATGGGTAGATCTGGAGCGCCCTCGTTCGGGTCTACTGGGCGGACCTTGGGCAGGTTGTCGTTGGCCAAGAGCTCTTCCGGTGCGAAGAATTCAGCTTGAGATACTGGCTTTGCATAGTACCTTTGTTCCCAATCTTGAAGGACTTCGCGAGCTTCCTGGCGTGAATTGTCCTTCTGCTTAAACATATCGGGGTTGAAGATGTCCTCGTCAAAAATGTCCTGCTTGACTTTGCTGGGCTCGATAGTCTTGACACTGGTTGGCTCCCGCTTCTTGCTGCTCTTCGAGGATGAAGATTCACTCTTGCTGCTCTTGGACGAAGAAGAATCGTTCTTGCTGCGCTTCCATGAGGAGGATTCGCTCTTGCTGCTCTTCGTTGAAGACGAAGACTTGCTGTCGCGCTTCTTCTCGCGCTCCCTCTCCTTCTCCTTGTCCTTGTTGTCCTTGTAGTCCTTGATCGCAGCAGTTGCGATTGCTGCTGCAGCACCAGCAGCTACTGCGCCAGCAACGGAAGACTTCTTGTCAGACTTGAAAGCCTCGCGTTCGCGGTCTTGCAGCTCCTGCTCCTTGCGTTGTACAACGGTGGCAGTCGAAGCCATTGAATCTCCTGTTGGCTGCTGTTCAAGCTTACGAGCTCGGTCGCTCTCGTATCGGTCGGTGTAGTCCTGAGCTTCGCGTTCCCTGCGTCGGCGCTCCATGTCCTCTTGAATCTCAGCTTCGCGTCTCGCGGCATCGATGCGCTCAGCTTCTTGTTGTTGAGATTCACGGCGCTCTCTCCGTTTGCGCTCAGCCTCCGCAGCCTCGATGGCGAGCTGACGCTGACGCTCCATTTCGGACATTCGTTGATGACGTTCGCGGTCTTCGGCTTCCCGAGCGAGGCGTGCCTGGACCTCTTGCTGTTCGCGACGGCGTTCGTTCTCGAGCCTCGCCAATCGTTCGATGTCCATGAACTTGCGAGCCTCCTCCTGCTGCCGTTGCAACTCCAGGCGACGTCGCTCGTCTTCGTCTCGGCGTCGCGCTTCTTCTTGGCGTGTCGTTTCCTCCAAACGGAGCAATGTCTGCCGGCGGTCTTCTTCAATCCGTCGAGCCTCATCCTCTTGCAGCTGCCGTTCTTTGCGCAGGCGATCCTCTTCCTCACGGAGCGCAAGTGCCGCTCGCCGGGCCTCTTCCTCTTGTCGCAGCTGTTCTCGACGCACTCGGTCTTCCTCTTCTCGGCGCGCCTCGTCCTCGCGTCTCTGTTGTTCTCGGCGACGCTCGGCCTCCTCGTCCAGTCGCTCCTGCTCCTTGCGTCGCTCACGGAGGTCCTTCTCGGCCTGCTCTTGTGTCAAGTTGAAGCGAACATTGCTAGACGCGGACGGCGGTCGGCTCGGAGGTCGGTCGGGGTGTTTCATCGCAGAAACTGCTGCAAATCCGGCAGTCGCTGCAAGTCCAGCAATAGAGGCATCTCGCCTCCATGAGGAGCTTTGGATGGGAGAAGAGTTTGCCCGACGGAATTGAGGATGCTGAGGACTTTGGATGATAATGTTCTGAACTTGAGACTGCGTGGGATAAGGAGGTGGGAAAGGTGCTGGTGGGAAGTCTGAAGGACCTGCTGTGGTGTACCCAGATTGTGATGGTGCCTGTGTTGAGTAGATGGCGCCGGGGACTTGCTGCACTGGCTGAGGGTGTTGAATGGGGATGGGACCAGGTCCTGAGGTGACAATAGGCTGATTGGTGACGATAGAGCTTGTACGGCGTGCATCGAACGACGCATTGGGGTCATGGGGTGCAACAGGATAGACCGACTGCAATGTTTGAGCGCTGCTAGACTCGCTGTCGTGGTGTCCATGGGCAGCTCCAACAGCTGCGCCGGTCAAGGCACCTGCTGCGCCAGCTGCGGCAGGCCCAATGAGCGATGTACTAGCGATGTTGTCGTAGAGGTTGTTGGAAGACCTTCTCTTCTTGCCAAAGCCCCATCGCCAGCCCCATTTGTTCGTACCTGAGTGGTTGGATCCGATAGACTCGTTGCTCTTGGTCTTCTTCAGGGAATAATCGCCGTATACGAGACCGCCATCACTCGAGGAGTCGGAAGTACCATCGTCTGGCAAGTCCTCCCACTCGTCGTCCCCGTAACGTGAGGCGGGCCGCGAAGTTTGACTTGTCTTGCGACCAAGACGGTTCTCCTTAACAGCAACGATCTCGTTGTGGCGTTTGCCCTTGCCGGCCTTCGCGGCTGTGATAGCAGCAGCCGTAGCGCCAAGACCAAGTAGCGAAGCTTTCAGTCGCTCATCCGAGTTTCGTCTCTTCGGCGATGATCGTCTCCGCGTCCTCCTTACGTAGCCGGTGCCGAATGCCATCTCGGAGTCGGATGAGGATGTTGAAGCATTGCTGAAGCTGAAGAAGCCCTTCTTCTTTTTCTTCAGGCTATTGGCTGTCTTCACTCGCTTCTCCTTTGGTGGAGGTGCAGAGAAGAAGCCTCCAAGGAAGCCACCCTGGGACTCGTGATTCTGGCCAATTTCGATGACAGAGGCTCCGGATGTTGAGCTTCGAGATGCTTTGTGTCGGAGTGAATGCGATCTTCTCCTACGACGCTCATCGTCACTGCTGTCTCTGCGGTGATGAACCACTTGAACCCTCTTCGGGGACCTGGATCGACTGTGCTGCTTCTTCTTTGTGGCCGCTCCAAGGGCGACTCCTGCAAGACCTGCACCAATGGCAGTGCCGATCAGGCCTGTCTTGCCGCGTCCTGAGTTGGAGCTTGAAGTTGAGCTTGATCGAGAACGGCGCGACCGAGACTGACGGCGAACAACCTTGTGATCCTTACGGTCCTTCTTGTCGCTCGTAACGCCCACGGACATCACGGAAATGCGGTCGGCGGAATTGCTCCGGTGGCGGATGCCAGAGCTGCCATAGCTGTAACTCTTGCGATCCCCTGATCTGCTGCGGCTGTGTCGTGAGACCCTCGACCGACCAGACTTGATGCTGTATGTGTCGTCAAAGTCGTCGCGGCCCGCGCTGAAGACAGCCTTTCCAGCCTTGGCAAGGCCAATGCCGCCCAGGCCTGCAGCTACCCAGCCCGCGGCGCTGCTCTTGTTCTTGCGACGCTCCTCACCCGAAGAGATTGAGCCCCAAGACTTCTTCTCCTTGAGCGAGTATCGAGATTGCTTCTCAATGCCACCAGTGGGTCGCATGAACTCATTGGATCGCCGTTTGTAGTAGTGGTGCTTCCGCGGGGCGTCCAGAACGGAAGAGCGAGGGTCAAAGCAACCCTTGCAAACTCCAATGTACTCGGTGTACTCTTCCATCTTCTGCACATCCTCGTAGTCTTTCCACCAGTCGACAAACTTGGAAACAGGCCCAGTGTGCTGATGCTGGTGAGCCATGCCGCCTGAGATGTATGGACTGGGCGTAAGGCCATTCTGATGATGTCCGTTCGGGCCGTGCGCCGACGGGTGATGGTGTGTGCTATGCGAGTGTGTGTGGGTGTTGGAGTGGGTGTGTGAATGTGAATTATGTTGGTTTAAGCCATAAGCCGCCAGTCCTGCGGCGCCAGCAGCGTACAGTCCAGCCATGCTGCCAGACGAGTGCTTTTCTGGCTTGGCTGGCCGAGGTGGCTTTGGAGGAGGCGCGCCTTCCACGCCGTAGGCGGCGGCTGCAGCATAGGGTGGGAGGTAGCTGCCGTCGTTGGCAGCGGTATTAGAAGCATTAGATCCCGGGCCGTACATGTTGTACGTGGAAGCCGGAGCAGCCGGGGGGGTATTATTAGTATAAGAAGAGTATGATGTAGAAGGGCGAACATTCGATGAGCTGTAGCTCGTGGTGTGTTCGTGATTAGAGGAGCTGTGGCCCATGGCATATCCCATGGCAGCTCCGCCGGCCGCAGTAGCAGCTGGGCCGAAGGTGCTCGACTTGTTGGGTCTCGACGAAGATGCGGGTCGCGGTGGTTTCTGGGGCGTCGGGGTGTCGTCGACGAAGGCACCGGGCATGGACGAGCTCGATGGTCGTGGAGGCCTGGATGAAGAGCCATTTGTGCTGGGCCCGTAGAAGTCTGCAGCGGCGCCCGATCCGGTGTCGGCAACCGGGTTGGGCTGCGCGGAGGCAGACATGAGATGGGGGGTATCCTGTCCTATGATGACAGAGGGCGGCTGGGGCCTCACGCCAGGCTGTTGGTGCACTGACTGGCCCTGGTCGTTGTAGAAGTCGGCAGCCGCTCCGAATGGATGGCCGCCAGGGAGCGCGCTCGAGGTGTATCGCAGAGGGTCCTGGCCGGGGAACTGGCTCTGCACGTGATCGTCCATGTCGTCGTGGTGTGGTGGGTGGCTTCCTACTGGCAGAGCGCCCGACATCATGGGCGCTCCTGCCTGTCCTGGGAACTGCGAGAAGCCGTCGCTGCCAATCTGGCCGCTGAAGCTGCGCTGGACCGACTTGGGACTGTCAACAATCTCGCCCCTGTAGCCGGCGCCAGTTTGCGACGTGCTGCCGGACCGCACTGAGCGCGTCGAGCGGCGCTTCTCGAGCTTCTTGTCCTTGGCCTTGCCCGTCTTGCGGTCCTTGTCGTCGCGCAGTGTCGAGCTGGACGACTCGGCATAGCTGCTGCGGCGATCGTCGCGACGCATGTTGTCGTCGTCGTAGGGACCGCTCGTGTTGTTTGTTGTGGCCCGTGAGCGCGGCATCTCGTCGAAGGCAGTCGTGAAGGAGGCAATCGAGGACGCGGAAGGCGCAGTGTCACGTTTAGATGAGGTCGATGTCGATGGCTTGCGCGTCGTCGAGGATGACACGACGGAGCGGGCGTCTGGGTCGCGCTTGGAACGCGTGGAGTCGCTAGTACGGCGGCGGCGACTTTCCTCGTCCTTGTTGCTGTTGGAGGCAGCAGAGCTACCGGTCAATCTGCTCCACATGATGGCGCAGGACTGCAGTCAGGATCGCGGGGGCGCGGATGCGTTGTTATTACAAAGTGGTGCTGGCAATGGGTCGGGCGCAAATGAGATGAGTCTCTTGGTGGGATATGCTGGGTATATCGCTGCAGACAGTCGCAAGTGAGAGAGAATCGTTCAAATCGTCATGTCGTGATGATATAGTACAGGTTTCCGATGCAGAATGGCTAGGAAAGTATGCGCGCAATGCCCAAGGACAACCAAAGCAGCCTCTCGCGGTACTAATCGCAAAGATTGGTGTGGTGCAGAGCAGCTGAAGTGCTCGGCTTGGGACGTAAGCCCCAGCAACCGAGTGAGTTGGCGGCAAGGGTTAGCTCGATCCACACGGGATGGAGGCGAGGCTGGGCCAATAGCTGCCCGATGGCAAACGCTTCTTCTGCGGATCTTTACCGGGGCTTCTTCCGGGGCTGTTCTCGCTGTCATCGAGAACATGTTGATCAAAGTGAACTGTGCAGCCTGGGGCGCGGAAATCTAGGCTTGTGGTTCTGGTAGCTAGTAGTAGCTCTTGCTGCGTGTTGCGAGCTCCTCCCACGACCTTCATCCGACACAGTCAAGGCGCGCGGAGATTTCCGAGGCCATCAGTGTAGTTATCTTGCATGTTCAATGTTGGTTAGGCCGCCGAAATCTTTAAACCCGATCGTTGATAGTCAAACATCACCCAGTCGCATCGACAAGGATTACAACAAAAACAAGGCGCGCGTGTGACATTGAATCCATTTTTGCATTAATCAGGCTTGTGCGACCTGTGTGCATCTATTCGCGACTGTGCTGTGCAGCCCTTCTGAGGAGCCACTCATTACACTCCACATGTTCCTTCACGTTTCTGCACGTCCAATCCATCACCATCTGCATAGCCTGAGTCATCCGATTCGAATCCAGAGTCTGATGCTCCATCCAGATTACGACTCATCATTTCCCAGGTCTCGCTTTCTTCTGGGAGAGTGTTCATGCTGTACAAGCCATATGTGAACATCGCTTCTTTCAAGCACTGCGCCCTTAAAGAGCGATCGGGGTATTCCATGATTTCCAGTAAGATCCGTGCGATGAGATCAGGTTGTGTTGTGCTCTGTCCTACGTCGCGTAGTATGCACCAAAGGACCTCCGCACCCCGCTCGTGGAACAAGCGGTCTTTCATAGCAAGACCAAGGCAAACTTTCCGCTTCTTATAATGCTGCTGGAAGTCTCGGCGTAACTAGGGCCGCCCACCAGCCATCAACATCTGCCGTATTTGCAGGATTTGCGCGCGGTGCTCTGGTGCTAGCTGGTCAATCTGCTGCTGCGACAGAGCCATGACCTGTGCGTAGAGCGCCTGCTGGTCCATTCCAGGTGCTTGTGGTTGCTGTTGCTGTGGAGGCTGCGCGTACGGCTGTGCGACGGGAGCTTGAGGTTGGGGAGGTGTAGGCGCGACTTGTGGTGGGTATCCGGGGTAGTTCACAGGCGGTCGCGCAACTTGCGGTGGTGGCTGCTGTACTTGCTGAACAGGTGGAGCCTGCGCAACTGGGGCAGGCGCGGCCGATGTCTCCACAAGCGAGGTCAGGATTTGTGGGTCGACCAGCTGGAGGAGCAGTAGCGACTGAAAGATGGCGTAGGCCAGCTGGGGCGCTTGTCGCAGCAGCTCTGTCGCCTTGGCAGGATCCGTCATGACGAGGCCTTTCATCTGTGAGAGGATGTCGAGGAGCTGGTCGGGGGGCAGCGTGGAGAGCGTGCGCGAGATGGCATCGGGGCAGGTGAGACTGGGCGGCAACTCGACGCCTGGTGGGAGAGGGCCCAGCGCGCTCGACGGTTGCGCCGGTGCTGGTGCTGCTGGTTGTTGGCCGTTCATGGCTGGTTGTGTAGTCTGGTCGCGGTTGGAAGGCGCGTTGTCGCCGGAGCCGCTCTCGTTGGACCAGTCGACCCTCAGCTTCCTGCCCATCAAATCGTAGTCGTTGAGGTTGCGCACGGCGGAGGCTGCGGCGTCAGCGTCGGCGAACTCTGCGAACCCAAAGCCCTTGGGGCGCCCGGTTTCCTTGTCGTACACCAAGCGAAAGTTGAGCACCTGTCCGACGCGCCCGAGGGTTTCGATGATGAGCTCTTCAGTGCCGCCTGGGTTTGTTAGCTCGGTTTAGGAATACAGCGGTGTTAAAGACGCAGATTGGGAAGATCTGGCGTCAATGTAGGCTCCAGGGTGAGTAGTCGCATACCGTAGGGAATGTTGCCGATGAAAACAACTCTGCCCGCTTTGTCGTTGGGCGCCATCGCTATGCAGACTCGATATCGATGAAGAGATCGCTGGAAGATACGCGGTGAAAGAGGGTCGGGATATCGCAGGAGATCGAGTGAGTGTTTCTTTGAGGCTTCGAAGGTTCCGCGAGGCATGAGCTTTGGACCGTCACTAGCGCGACTCTAGGCTTGGCGCGTCTTACCTGCTGAGCAGGCACACGACCAACTCTTCCCTTCCAAGGTTAGACACGGTTCGTCCACAATTTCAACGCATCTTACTATATTCACATCCTTTTTCATGCTCGTAGCTTTGCATCGATGTCAATCTTGGCTTTGGACGATCACATGATACCTCACAATTAATTTTCGCAAAAATTCGTGATGGTGTTCAATTCATGAAAACTACAACCCTATAGTTTTGCCGCCGACGGCGTACAACACGTACCATCCTCACCAATCGTCGCAGTAACACTCGGCTGCTGGTGCTGCTCGCTCAACAAACTGCTCTTGTTGAACGCCTGCTCACTCGGCGGTACGTCTAGCGCAGGGTTCTTATCGAAGAAGTTGACTGGCTTCATATGGATCTTGATGATCTCGCAAGGCATAACGGGGAAGTCCTCAATACGAGGCACGTGGTTGATGCCCGCTTGGATGTAGACGACAAAGTCCGTGTCTTTGACGTTGTCGTTCCTCTCCGCCCAACTCCGCACTCCCGTTCCACCACGACTCTGGTTGGTGTAGGTACCGCCAGCGTACAACTCGCCGTCCTTGTGCTTGACGACGTAGATGTTGTGGTCGGAGAATTCGGCGCGCTTGTAGTTGAAAGAGTCCTTGTCGGAAAGGATCTTTTGGAACGGCGGCGCTTGGATCTTGTATGCGACTGGCTTTCCGTTGATGGGATTTGGCACGTTCGGGTTTTGGATCTTGAAGGTGCGGTTGTTCTCGTATGCGATGTCGTAGCCGCCAGACTTGTCTACAACCGTCTCTTGAACGTAGTAGCCAGTACCGTGGGGGTTGAAGTCTGAGCGCGGCATCGGGAACGCCTCGTCGTACACGAGTCTGTTGTCATACCCGTCTATCATAGGGTCGACGCGCAATGAGAATATATGTTGATGATGGACGGCAAGTACACCGGGGTGCACGACTGTACCGAAGGGCACCTCGACACCTTCGTCGATAGGCTGCGTGCTCAGGATGCCGGTAGCCCTGATTTCGTAATCGACTTCTCCGGCCTGGTTGAAGATGAAGGCTAGGATGTACTCGTAGTTGGCTACGGTAATGATGCTCTGGAGCACCAACTCCCGGTTTCGAGCGACAACAGCGCGACCGGTGCGGTAGTTGGTGTGCTTGAAACCGATTCCAGCATCTTGCTCGTGGACGCATACAACGTTGGGCATCTCCACAGACCCACCGTGGTTGTCGGCGAGTACGGCTGAGAGATAGTAGATAGAACCCAGACAATCGCAGCCCAGCTTGAGGTTGTTCGCCATGATACCAGCACCAACATCGCCCAAGTCGAACGCGCTCTTCTTGTGGTAGGGATGGCGGGGGTCCGCATAGGGAATGTTCATATCCGACAAGCTCATTCGGTAGAACAAGCTGCGGTTGTCGTAACGGACATCGTACAGTACCATACCTTCACGCTGGTTGAAACCAACGCGGAAGTTCCATCTCTGCCATGAGATGACATTTGATGTGCCTTGCTGTTCGACTTGGAAGCTAGCACCTTCTGGCTGGACAACGTTAAGCGGCTTAAGATCGGTCCGCAGTTGTTGGGCCTCGGGTATGTACTCGTTGGGCGGTTGGATCTTGTACTTTTCAACCGGCTTGATGGTGTTGTCTGCACCAGTCGGTAGTATATCAACGCGAATGACCTCCATCTTCTCTGTGCTCACCACGGGCGAGATAGGTAGCGGCATTGCGTAGTGGTTGGAGTCGGCTTCTGATGAGTTCATCGGGTCCCTGAGGTATAGGAAGCATTGCCACAGCCTATCTTCGTCTCCAACGCCGTCGGACCCGTAGATCCATGGGTCGCTGATTACTACTGTGCCTTGGGGGAGCTCGAGCTTGGCAATCTCCGCTTGTACTTTCTCATCGGTCAGGACAAGTTTCTCGATAGCGACGATTTCATCGCCATCCGCGTTGGCATGGACAAAGGGCCCTAGAAGGACGTTGCGATCTACGCGACGTGAGGTCAAGTCCACAACCGCCTCGTGAAATTTGTTCTGCCGACTGATTAGCCGCGAATCATATTTCCAACCTCTTTGCACATACAGTGTTCCGGATGTAGTAATTGACAAAAGCTTTTCTCGCGATTGATGGAAGTGGCTTGCCGCTATGTTCAGCCTCCAGATATTTCAGTGCCTCGACTTTTGGTGGTTCCTGCAGCGTCACGACCTTGAAGTGCAGGTCTGTGTGCGCTGGCCATGAAGCTTTGATGATTGCCGCAGCATCTTGAAGTTCTGATGCCGATAGCGGGGAGAATGGATGGGCAGATACCGATTTCTCGCTCCGCGGACTAGGATCAGTGGCGAGCTCTG